TCAGGTTGGGCAGGAGGAGATCAGGTTGGGCAGGAGGAGATCAGGTTGGGCAGGAGGAGATCAGGTTGGGCAGGAGGAGATCAGGTTGGTGAGAAGGAGATCAGGTTGGGCAGGAGGAGATCAGGTTGGGCAGATGTGGATGGAGAGGGAAGTGCAACTGGGACGTCATAAAACGGTGAAGAAAGGCGGAAAAAAACCAATAAAAAACGGGATTTTTCAGTCATATTCGAGCAAAAATGGAATTCCAGTCTTCAGGCTGAGCCATACCCATGGGAATGTGTGAGGAGTGATGGGAAATGCCTGTTTTTGGTTGTGTTGGCAGCTGTTCCTGGACGAGCTGCACGAGCACGGGCAGTTACATTCCATGTCCTCCTGGATGGAGCTGTACCCGGCCATCAGCTCCGACATCAGGTTCACCAGCATGTTGGGCCAGCCTGGTAAGGGGGGGGGATTTGGGATTTTTGGAATAGCTAAAAAAATAGCTTAAACATTTGGGAAAAAAAATCTTAAAATCTGGGAGGGAAAAAAAAAAAATGGAAAAAAAAATAGGAAAAAAAAAGATAAAAACGCACCTAAAAATGTCTTAAATTGAAAGGAAAATGGAAAAAAAAGACCTAGATATCTTAATGTATTTTAAATATTCTGGAAGATCTAAAAAAAAATAAAATTTGGAAGCTAAAAGAGCTTAAAAGGTCTTTAAAAGAGCCTAGAAATGTGTAAGAAATAAATACGTAAATAGCTAAAAAATCTAAATAAGAATCGAAGAAATTGAAAAGATCTAAAAAAATAATAAAATCTGAAAGCTGAAAAAGCTAAATAAGTATCTAAGAAATTGAAAAAATCTAAAAAATATATAAAATTTGAAAGCTAAAAAAGCTTAGAAGATCTTTTTAAAAGAGCCTAGAAATATGTCAAATGTAAATATGTAATTGGCTAAAAAATCTAAATAAGAATTGAAATTGAAAAAATCTGAAAAAAAATAAAGAAAAGCTGAAAACTGAAAAGGCTGAATAAGTATCTAAGAAATTGAAAAAATCTCAAAAAAATTAAAGAAAATCTGAAAGCTAAAAAAGTTTAAAAGATCTTTAAAAGATCCTAGATATATGTAAAATATAAATACATAAATAGCTAAAAAATCTAAATAAGCATCTCTCTAAGAAATTGAAAAAATCTAAAAAAAATAAAATATGAAAGCTAAAAAAGATTAAAAGATCCTAGAAATATGTAAGAAAATAAATATGTGAATAGCTAAAAAATTAAAGAAATATCTAAAGAATTAGAAAAATTTAAAAAGAAAAATAAAATATGAAAGATATAAAAGATCTTTAAAAGAGCCTAGAAATGTGTAAAAAATAAATCCAAAATAGCTAAAGAATCTAAATAAATATCTAAAAAATTGAAAAGATCTAAAAAAAATCTGAAAGCTAAAAAGGCTTAAAAGATCTTTTTAAAAGAACCTAGAAATATGTAAAATATAAATACAGAAATAGCTAAAAAAGCTAAATAAGTGTGTAAAAAATTGGAAAAATTAAAAAAAAAATAAAAATCTGAAAACCAAAAAAGCTTAAAAGATCTTTTTAAAAGAGCCTAGAAATGTGTAAAAAATAAATACAGAAATAGCTAAAAAAATCTAAGTAAGTATCTAAGAAATTGAAAAATATAAAAAAAAAATTAAGAAAATGTGAAAGCTAATAAAGATTAAAATATATTAGAAATATGTAAGAAAATAAGTATGTGAATAGCTAAAAAATTAAATGTCTAAAGAATTGGAAAAATCTAAAAAAAATATAAAATCTGAAAACTAAAGAAGCTTAAAAGATCTTTAAAAGAACCTAGGAATAAAGAAAATGTGAAAGCTAAAATAACTTAAAAGATCTCTTTAAAAGATCCTGGAAATATGTAAAAAATAAATGCGTAAATAGCAAAAAAAGCTAAATAAATATGTAATAAATTGAAAAAATTAAAAAAAAAATATAAAATTAGGAAGCTAAAAAA